TCTGAGCCTTTGTATGAGTCAGGAAGTTTAGGGTCCTGCTCTCTTTTTTGAGGCAGAGGCCAGACAGAGGACCAGCCACTGTGGTGATATCTTGCTTGTACAAATAAAGCTTGTCTGAAGATCAGAGGATAAAGCTTGCCACTGGCTAAACATAGAGGCCAGAAGGTCTGTACAGGCAGACTGGACAGGATGACTGGGCAGAGAGAGGAAGTGAGATGACTGGGCAGAGAGAGAGAATGTAAGCGGGAAGAAACAGGAACTTCCGCTCTTTTCCGCTGGGAAGCCAATGAGGTAAGGTGTGGCTGTGGTTTGCTCCTTCTCTCTGATTTCTTAGCATTTCCCTTTATATCTGACTCTGGATTTTTATAATTTAGACCTATTAAGAATTCCATTTACAAGCCATTGACTACCAAAAGAATTGACCTTTCACTACTGCCCTTTCTCAGCCTTGAGAGGTGGGTATACTCTCAATTACCAGAACCCATTTGCCTCCTCATTTCCAGTCTCAAATTGAGCAAGTCACAGTCTGGACTTATCCAGCTGAGCTGGATGCTAGAATGGTGATTCTCTATGTGGACTACTTCATGGTTAAGACAATGGAAAGAGCTGATAAATGAAGCCTGGACAAAATGAGTCAAGTAAGGTCTATGCCTTTTAACATATATTTATTGAAATCTTCTAGATGCAAGGCACTGCGCTAGATTTGGTAGGGGATTAGACATGAAGGGCCACCTCTGTCTTCTAAGAGCTCACAATCTAATAGTTTGGAGAAGGCCGAGAAAAGGGGATGAGAAACCAAGTCCACAAACAGCTCTAATACAAGGCTACAATCAGACAAGATAATCAGACTGGGGAAGAACAAGAATGCCAACAGCTGAATCCAACCTGGGCAGGACACAACTACTACTCTCAGAGATAATGAAAGTAGCACTGAGGATCAAGTTCAAAGATACCATTTCTATTTTTGAAAGTAAGTGCCCAAACCAATGTAATGCAAACTACAGAATGTAAGTACACTAGGAATGGAGGTGTCATCAATCCCCTAATCTAGCCGGTTTGCTGGAAATAGAAAAACACTTCCAAAATAGAGTGGAACAGGCTACAATGAGCTCATCCTATGAGCCAAATGCTGTTCAGAAAAGGAACTACACTCGTACAGAAGATCATGGGTTAAACCCAGAGGCTAAAAGGCATAGAGTTCCACCCATCTTAGTGATCAGAGTACAGTACATTTAAACAGGTGTTCATGTCAACCAACTGGGATTTAGGCCAGGAATGCTGGGTGGACAGAATGTAAGGAAAGACAGCAATGCAAGTATTCTTAGGAAGCAGCCCAATAGTCAAATACAACTGGTTCTTGGCAAATTTCAAAAAGCACAGACCCATTCAAGCTGGCTGAATGCAGGGGGGAGGGGTAAGTCTATACTGGGGACACACATACACTGATGCAGGCGGCTGCCAGTAATCTAAGTACATACAGCCAGGCCTCCCTTAGGGTAGGACCCAAGTAGCTGTGGGCAGAACAACGGGAACATGTAGATCTCCATTATGGTTCTACTCACAGGGGCAACTCCTTGAAATACCTTGTGCCTCCCTCCATGATCCAATACCAACCAGATTCATTTTCCTCTTTTGCATTTCACAGTTCTAAAAGGCCAAGTCCACCTTCTCAAATCAGGTCTGACTGTTGGTTGCTGCCTTTGGGTCAGGTGTCTGGGGTTGGTTTAATTCATGTGGCCCACAAATGGGGTGGCAAGTCATGTGGCACACAGCAGGGCCACAGCCCAGGACTGAAGACAAGTAAGATGCCATGTCATGCCACTTTGAGCACAAAAATCAAACACACAGAATGTAACATCATGGGAGAAAGATGCCCACGCTGTGATGTGATGGGGATTATTCTGTAAATTCAAGAGTGGCTATGATACAAGTAATTAAAATAGTTAATCATAATAAGCATCAAAATGATAAACATTTGCTTTAAAAAATTCAGCAAGTATTAAAAACTCTAATAAAAGCCACAGAGGGTTTCTTTCTTAATATGGTGAAGGGATGAATCTCTATAGAGAGGCAGAGTTCTATATAATCTAGCTGCTCTCCATTCCCTTTCAAGAATACATGTGGTTAGAAAGAAAAGTGTAATGAGGTAGATACATGGATGCATAGATATGCACACTTTGCAAGAAGCTTGCTCATGTTTGTATGGAATATAGCAGCACACCTAGAGCCAAGGAAATTCACACCCATATTATCCAAGGCAAAGGATGCAACTATGGGCTACATGTTAAAGTCACACACTGATTGCTTTTGGAGAGAGTGGGGATTTCACCTCAAATTCCATTCACAAGATCTGAAAATAGTCACGGAAAAGACACTGGTTTTTAATGTTAACACACACACACAAAAGAAAGAAATAAAGAAAAGGATTTGTTTCAGAAAAAAATTAGAGAGCATAAACTAGAAAATAGTAAAAGAGAGCAGGAAGGATGTGAAGAGATGCCATACTCCAGATGGGTAGTGACCACTTTACTACCTTCTAAGTTAGTGCTACTCTAGACTTTAATATCTTTACTCAACCTTGACAAATGAGCAAGAAATGGTCTTCCTTCAAGGCTAAGTTGCCAAATTTTTCCCCTTGTAAATGTCAATATTCCTTACCCAATGACAGCTGCACACAACTTGTCCAAACAACTCACAATGAGAAAAGTAATCACAGAAAGAAGTGGTTTCAGACCAATTCACAAGAAACCACTAGAATTGAGCCCACAGAACAATAGGAGTTACTGTGTAGCAACTTCTGTTGGCTTCTCTCCAACCCGGAGAAGCCCCACAGGGCCACTGTAGTGACCTCGGGGCATTAGAGGCCCTTCTGGCTAAGATCATGGAGGTCATGTCAATCAGACCTAGCAGCCCAGGTTGGGGCTGGGAGCCCTTCCAGGCTATGCCCAATGGAGAGGCCAACCTCCCTCAAGAGGCTGCCATAAGGGCACATTTTCTGGTCTCCCAACATCCCTCAGAGCACAACTGGAAACTCAAGCCTCACCTGCTGTTTCGCTTAAAGGGGTCTGCCTAAAGCAACGGACAAACTGCAGGGTGATCAGTTTTGATTTCTGTGCTACATGGACTGTCAGAATAGCTTCTTGCCCTCTAATCTTGTTTTATTGACCTTCTTGGGAATGTTTAGTCCAAGTCCTGGACCAGATGTGGTGCAACTAGCTTCTGTGGCATGGCATGCAGCCTATTGGAGGAACACAGCTCCATCTCTTCAGGCCTATGCTGGCATACCTCTTAGATGTGTCGGCAGAAAGCAATGCCAGAAGACACGGGCAAATTTCTCATTCTGGTTGCCCAAAGCAGAAGCCACAAAACTGATCTCTCATTCCAGAGTCACTTGCTGGAAGGAGGATTGAGGTGATATATCATCACCAGTCAGGTGCTTCTTCTGTGTCTAATATGTGGAACTGCTTCTCAGTTACTGAACCCAAAATAGTCAAGGCTCCTAACAGCTTGAAGGATGGATGGCTGCTGCCAGACCATGTCTGGACCATTCTGTTGGTCTAGGTGAAGCTGAGCCCTGCTGATGATGGCTGGGGCTATACTGACGAACAGTTACAGAGTGCTCTGAGAAATGTGTGATAGACACATCTCTTGTGTGCCTCAGTGGCCAAGTTGTATAGTCAAGTGCTGCCCACAGACATATACACAGTCTGCTCACATTGTATCTGCACTTTCTTGGTGGGCAGGCAATTTAATGTTTCTTTTGTAAGTAAACTTTTGAAGAAAATGTCATCATATCTAAGTCATGAAGCCATAAATGTCACAAGTTAACAGGCAAAAAAAGAATTAGAATTCAAGGATACATAAAAAATACAAAGTCTGCACAACAAAAATTTAAAAGTACTAATAAAAAAAAAACCAAAGCAATAACAATTGGAAAATAACATGGCAATGGATACAGAAAGAACTACTATATAAAGTCAACATATCTAAAGGTAACTTGATAACTAGTCAAAGGAGATGAACGGGTAATTTTCATGCAAGAAAAGAGAAATAGTACTGAAGTCATTGTATGAAAGATGAGACCAGTAGTCAGGAGGCCTGAGGGGTCCATCCTTGTTTCTGATACTAATGAGCTGTATGATGGCAGCAAATGACCTTTACTGAGTTCTTGTAGTCAAGGCACACTCCTTGAGAATTTTAAGAGGTAAGGACTGACTACTCCCTCTTCAAACCTGCAAATGGAGGGTTGGAGAAGTGCCATTTATGATGTCTGATATCAGGTGAAGATGTTTCAAGAAAGAAATGTCATTTTACCTTAAAGTCCTGAAGATGTCCCTCTCATTTGGGGAGTATACTCTCACTTTATTTTGAACAAGATGATACCATGTGAGGACAAACTCCAACTGACAAGTTTGATTTTGGTGTTCATAGGGGTCACCGAATTAAACAAAATGAGAGACAAAAAAGGTTTATCTCCAGTTCAGTAAGTTTTACTAGGAGTAATGCCTGAAATGGAAAAAAAAGCCTTTTAAAAGGCCATTTGGAAAAGCACCACTTGAAGTGGTCATGTTGTACGTACAGTACTAATTTAAAACCACAAAGTAATGCTTCTAATATTATATGAATATGTTCTTATGGCTCGGGAGAAAACTGTTGGTGACAGCCTCATGAATAGATTGTCACAGCGCTACTATAGATCAAACAGAGGTGAGTGATGATGACTCAAACAAGTTTTCATGATGGTGAGGTCAAAAATGCACAAATGGAGTATGGTGAAACGAGTATTCTCTAAATTAATATATTATTCCATATAATGTGGTTTACAATATGTATCTATAACAAAATTAATAAATTAAATATATGGCATTTGATCTATTTACATCCCTAAAATTTTATAAATTGAAAAAGCCAAAACCTTGGGGCAATTTTCCTTTCAAGAAAGGTACATCATCATACTGATGCCATTGAACAGGACTGTATTTCCCTCAGGGGCAGAACTTCAAAAGGACCTCCCAGCTCCCTACTAGACCCTTGCATGCAGATTTTTCTTCTCATTCTAGATGTGAAGATTAAAATACCTTGACAGTACTTTCTGCTGGGGAAGGTAGCCAAGCTATGTTAAAATGATAACAGTTACCCTCAGTAGGTGTAGTGGGAAACATGAACATTTATAAATTGCTGGTGGCAGTACAAATCATTTCAACCTCTCACACAATAAAATAGATAATTGCTACAAAATTGTTCATCTCCTTTGACGGGGCCAATGCCTCTGTGGACCTCTGCTATAGGTCCCAGGGCAGTGTCTACTCTACGTGGGAGGGCTGGTGCTTCTGCAGTGCTGAACGCCTCTTGAACACACGACCACACTCACTGCACTCACAGCGCCTGGCCCCACTGTGGATCCGCCTATGGCGACTCAGGCCTGAGCTCCTCCGGAAGGCCTTGCCACACTTGTCGCACTCATAGGGCTTCAGTCCACTGTGGATGCGCCGGTGCTTGATGAGGTCAGAAGGCCCCCGGAATGCCTTGCTGCACTCACCACATGCGTAAGGCCTCTCACCACTGTGGATTCGTGCATGCTCCAGCAGGCTGGAGCTCTGGCTGAAGGCCTTGCCACACTGGCTGCACTCATAGGGCTTCTCACCAGTGTGGATCCTCCGGTGCTTGGTGAGCTCTGAGCTCCTCCGGAACAGCTTGCCGCAGTGAGGACAGGCGTAGGGTTTAGCGCCGCTGTGGATGCGCTGGTGCTCTGCCAAGCCGTTGACACCACGGAAGGACTTGCCGCAGTCGTCGCAGTCGAAGGGCAGGTGGCCTGTGTGCATCCTCTGGTGCTTGAGAAGTTCCTGGCGGTCCAGGAAATCCCGGCTGCACGCCTTGCACGCAAAGGGCTTTTCCGAAGTGTGAAGCTTCTGATGTCGAAAGAGGTGGGTGTTGGCTTTGAAGGACTGCCCACACTCCTCACAAGCAAAGGGCTTCTCTTTGCTGTGCACCCTTAGGTGCTGACTAAGGCCTGAGTTCTTCTTAAACCTTTTCCCGCACTCCTCACACTCAAAGGGCTTCGCCTCCCTCTCCATTTGCTCCCTCTTTTCCAAAGCATCTTCCAGAGCCCAACTGGGGCCACGCCAGGGCTGAGTAGCCACAGCTGCGTGGCTCTTCCTGTGCTCATTAAATTCTGACACCCCCCTGAAGACCTTCCCACAATCGCCACATTCCCAGCCCTTCTCCTCACTGTGAACCCTCTGATGCTGAACAAGGAGCACTTTAAGGCGGAAGGTGTCCCCACACTCTTTACATGCAAAATGGTGTTCTATGGGCTGATTTTGTGGGCTCCCTCCCCTTCCCCCAGAGTCCCCATTCTGTTTGACCTCAGCGCTGGGGTCATTGGCCCTCGGGGAGCTCGTGGACGCCATCTCTTGCTGCTGGGCTTCTTCACTCATCTTCTGGTGGTGGGTCACAGAGGTATTTTCTACAACGGTAAGTGATAAAAGATAAATAAAACACACAACAGTTTACAGAAAGCCTGGGAAAAAGGTTACTTTCCTTTGTCCATAATCCCTCTCCCGAAACTGCTAAGTACCAGGAAAGGGCCTAGAAGCCATTAAATGAACACATCAGAGGGAAAGATGGGAGAGTCCCAATTGTGGACACTGCTTTTAGCAAAGGGATAGTCACACCTCATTATCAGAGCTTCAGCTGGGCTCTCAACCATAATCCTAGAACTTCCACAAGCTTAGCAGGTCTTCCCAAGTCTAACTTCAACCCTAAGAGCTCAGCCTCCTCCAACCCAAAAGTCAACCCCTTTCCCAAATTTCCTTTATGCTCACCAGGGTCCTTAGTGTGATCTGTGCTAAGGGATGGATCTGATACCAACAGAACTTGTCCTTGTGAAGGGTGAGATACCAAAGCAGGACTCACAACAGGAACTCCTGGTAATGGAAGAAGGCAGCTGTCTAAGATCTTTTTCAAATCTCCTGGGCTGTCTATGACTTACTCTCAACAGTTCCTTCTAAAACTCCTCCACCCCATGCAAATACCTGATGGATAAACAAGAGCTCTCAACAATGAGCTCGAATCAACTGGCCATATGATTAGTATAATTTATGTATGTATATATAGTATAGTTAAAACATACTATTTATTTGTATATATTGGTATAATGTGTCTTTCCAGTCTTATGACTTAAGATCAAGTACAGTATCTGTTCTGATTAATTTAATGTCTGATAGAGTCTTTACCTGAAGACAATATATTGAATTTTAAAAGCACTATAATTATGACAGGTCTGTTCTCATTTCCACTTTTACATTTATTTCTTTACTGTGTCTGTAACTATGTGGGCATGTTCATACCAAGGTACACTAGTGCATGTCAGAAGACAACTTGCACAAATTGTCTCCTCCTACGTTATGGATTCTGGGGATTGAACATAGGTCAGCAGGCTCAGCCATTTCACTGACTACTGATCTAATGTTTTTCAAGTGAAAGATGGGAAGAGAGAGATCTTTACATGCCATAAGGAGTTGGGGGAGTTGCTATTGAGTGGTCTCAATAAGGAAGAACGAAGTGAAGTTTTATGTGGGTGGCCATGTATCCCCAACTCCACTTTTAGTAGATGGTGAGTGTGAGAAGTTCTGGAGGCATTCTTACCAATAGAGGTTACAGCCCTGGAATATGCCAGTGCCTGCTGCTCTGGGCTCAGACTCAGACCCAGCCACTCCTGTTCTGTGAGGTGCCACGGTACAATATCAAATGATACTGAATCCTGCAATAAATAACATTGATAGTCAGTCATTTTTAAGCTAATCTGTAATGAAGCAGGGTGGCACCAGTGATGCCAGGGGCAAGAGGGTAGGACCTGAAGTATTCACATCTGTGTATGATGCTAATGTGGAGTCCTAGAAAGAAAACAAGATCAAACACAAGGAGAGCTGTGCTGTCTGGTCCTGGGACTCTCACTGTCTTCCTAAAAGGACAGAAGACACAGACTTAGTTGTGTCACATATACAGTGGGTATCATAAGCACACTGGACATTCATTCCTTGGCAGCCTGTGGGAGAGAAGCCGAGGACAGGAAGGAAGGCAGTAGTAGCCAGGGGTCATACTCTGCTGCATGTCATGCTGGGCAAGAGGCAAAGGCTGAGGCCAAAATCAGGGAGCACTGACAAAATCTCAAGCAAGGCAAGAGGGAAGAACAGCTCACCTTGGCCTCCTGCATCTCTAGAGGGACTGCCAGGACCTGCTTTCCTGGAGCTCCATCTTGGGGAAGGGCAATACCTTGGGGAGCAGGTGGAGCTAAGGAAAGTGAAAAAAGCTGTGAGTGACAACAGCCCTGTTTCTTCTTGTTCCCCTGGGATGGCATTCGTGATTTCCTATTCCCTAGTTTTAAATCTTACAGTCTTTTTTTTTTCCATGTGGGTTGAGTGACAAGGCAGAGCATAAGTTTGCCTGAGAAAACATTTATGAAACAGGAAGAAAGTAAGCTGGCAACGAGTTAATATAGGTAGGCCAGAGGGAAGCATGATAAGACAAACAAATGCTATCTTAGGCGGAGTTGGAGACAGCTACAGAGAACTGCTGACAGGAAGATTAGCTGCCAGAGACTGGCTGACGACAGGGTTTCTTTAAAGTAAGCCTGGATGAGGTCAGTACTCATACACGGAGGAAGCACACTAAAAAGAAACAACTCAGAATAGGGACACCTGAAACTGGTGGGACCAGTGAAAGGAAGAGAGGTGACAAAGAGCAAGAACCTGAACTTCTTCACTAACAGTATGGCCTTTATAAGTACATCCTAGTCATTGAGAAAAAAAAAAACATGAAGAACCTACTCATGTTATTCAACAAAATGGGAAGCTGGAGAAAAATACTTCTAAGAAAAGATCTTCAAACATTACATCGATAAAGAAAAGATCTGAAGTGTGTATGTGTGTGTGGCCTTACCTCTACGTTGCAAAGTAAGTGAGCTATGGTAAGATTTATGATAGAGGCCTGTGCATTACAGGCCTCTTATTTCAGTGAATTCAAAGAAACAGCCAACTAGTTCATGTTCTGATGTCAACTCAATTCAACTCATAATTAAGTAGAAAGGAAGCATTTTAGCATCAAGTGAAGGATAACAAAAATCCAGGTACTCCAGAAAGACTTACATATGACATATTAGAAGAGGTGAATAGAAATTTCCACACATAGTCATGGCCATGATGGATTAACAAGGAGCAGATTTAACATTCACAAACAAGTTGCAAACCTGTGTTCAACCACCTTACAACCTTTTTTTTTTTAATACTAGGATAGTAGGAAGCATAGAGTTAAGATTCCTAGAAAAATAAGTGTCATCAGTTCAGTGCTCTGCCTGGAGGCAATGTCCAGATTGACAGTATAGGAGAAGCTTAGCAACCTCATCAGAAGCTTCAAAGGCTACCATTTATGGTGGTAGGGGAAAATGCAGGTTGCAGAGCAGAGCTCAGAAAGCATTGTGCTATGTATGTATGGAAAAGAAGTGAAAAGGTATGTACCCTTGAATCTTTTCTGAATACAAATATTGAATGAAACTCCCAAGGACTATAAGCTGAACAATTCCCAAGACACACAAAGGTAGGGACATGTTCAAGGTCTGATCAACTCACATAGAAGTCTTTATGATCCCCAGGAATGTTCAGAAGCCATGCTTCAATGGTAAGTCTTGTCTATTCTTAAAGCCCAAAATACAAGAGATTTGCCCTATAAAAACTTAAATATAGGACATCAAATTGACTTATAAATAACTACTCATAACCCTCAAAGTCCAAACACTCAACGAAATCATCATTACAATGTGCAAATTCCAATAAAAATTGAACTGCCAAGAAACACCAAAATGTGACCAAGAGCAAACAGAATAAATATCCAGTAGAGGCACCCGGAAGTGAATTGAACTAACAGATAAGGAAAAACAATAATTTATACCTCAGCAGTGAAAAAAAGAAAAACAGGGATATAAAAAGAACCAAATGAGATTTCTGGTAGATGAATACATATAAAACTTTCACTGGGTATGAGTAGTAGGTTAGATACTACAAGTAACAGTGGAAAACATGAAGACATAACAATCTAAATGAAGCCAGAGAAAGAACTACCATCCATTAAATTTCTGAAAATGTTAAGAGGAAAATCTTAAAAGTAGCTGGAGGAAAGAAATGATGCAAAAGAAAATAATTAAGTATTATAATAAAAGACTGTCATCCAAGAATTATACATGAAATATATCCATCAAAATATATCCACCTAGAAAAATGTCTGTGAGAGATGAAGGATAAATATTTTAAACAAAAGCCAGCATTTAGAACATGTGCAATTAGCAACTCTGTACCATAAGGGAAAACATTCAAGTGGAATCAGACTTAGAAGTACACAAAGGCATCAAGGAAACTTAAGACGTTCATCTTCTGCATTGGAAAAGCTTTAAAATTTCATTGTCTATTTCAAGAAAAAGCATTAGCTAAACATAAGCATGTGTTTTTATCAAGCTCTCCAAGACTGCTGAATGTTAGTACCCCAAAAGAAGAAAAGTAAGGGGGAAAGAAGAGATGGAAGAAATGAAAATAAATAGCAGGATGGCAAACTGAAACTGTATCACAGAGATAATTAAGTTAAATACAAATGGATTAAACACTTCAGTTAGTAGGTACAGGTTGTTAGATTGCTTTAAAAAGAGTGCATACAGTCTAAGAAACTGTTAAGGACACAGACATGATAAACTAAAAGCACAGAAAATAGTACAGAGTCTAAATCTCAATATAAAAAAAAAAAGTGTATGGGAAGAAGGTGAATGCTCAAGGTGACTCACAGTTCTGAAGATTCTACTAAAAAGTCCTAGAACTTACAGCAAGAAGAAAACTTGAACGGTTTCAGTATAAAAATCAGTAGGTGGCCAGACTAGGATAACATGCAGCAGATTAAAAAAAAATGCAAACTCTTCACAGAAGATACAGGTAGGTATTAACATGTGGCTGAAACACGAAAGAGGAGAAAGAGGAGAAAAAGGAGAAAGAGGAGAAAGGGGAGAAAACAAAAACACATTTTCCTACAAAGAAGGAAAACACTGAGGCTGACTTGTAGCTAGAATAAGCATACTGATTCAATGTTTATGTAGCTACAAAGGAAGAGAGACAAGGCTAGGGAAGGTAAGTTTTCAGTTTCTTTAATGTGTTTAATGTGTGGCTTTTTACACATTAAGCTGAATTTCACTGGTAATAGGAAAGACCAATTTTAAATAGCCTTTGGTGGGTTAATCTGGGGTAGGACAGATGCTCAGCATGCCAGAGAACAGGGCTGAGACCAAGGAGACAGCACAGGAATAGCCCTTTAGGTCAAATAAAAAGACCAATATATTTTAGGATACCTGTATGTCAAAGAGAAGGACTAGTGGAAATCTGTAAGCAGTTTGTGAAGAAGTTATCAGAAAGTCTAGGCACAGACTTCTTGGAATTCTCTCCTGAAACTATCAGCTTTATGGAAAGGTATGGCCAGAAGGTTTAATGTGACCCCAAAGTCTTTGCAAGCCCTCCTACCCATTTTTAGCTGACTGCCTAGCAAAAGTATTTCTCCGAATGTGAGTTCATCCGGAGATATTCAGTGGACAAACTCTTTCTTTGTCCTACTGTCATCAAAGCAGGGTTCCTTTGGCTTAATGGATTATTCTTGGTATGCATTCAATGTCTTCTTTGATTTTGGCTTCTTATACAAACAAAATGAACAGGTCATAAATTTATTACATGACTTTTTTAAAAAAAACATTTTGCTTCCAACTGACATTGGTGTTACCAAATGAAAAGGAGAGAGGGACATCATATCATATATGCAGTTCTGGACAAAGATGGCCTATTATAAACCTTTTCTTGTCTTCAAGCCTGTAGCAAGCTTTGGTCTAGTACACAATTGTATATCCTGCCCACTCCTTCAAAATCACCCTAACCAGAGACACTGACCTTCATGCAGATAGAAATACCAAGGCTGTGGCCCTCAAAGCCTGTGGATTTGCCAAGAATAACATCTCTTATCACATGAGGCTCCTTCTAATAACTCGGGCCTTAACTCAAATGTCACTTCATTAAACCTCTTTATTCTTTAGTCCTGATGTTTCCTCCAAACATTTTCACTAATGAAAAATTCTCTTTTGAAGTTGCTTGTTTTTCTTAGAAAAAAAAATCTGATCCAACAGGACAGGGCCTTCACTCCATTGATTACCCCTAAATTCCCAGTGCCTGTAGCAGCTCCTAGCATCATGTAGGGCATGACATGATGTATTGTGGAACAATAGAATCAATGTGAGCCAGAGTGTTGTGTTAAATGGACCAAGCTCCCTTTTTTAAAGCAAATAGGATGAATATTTGGAGCTGTGTGTCTCCTGTCACATAACTTTACTATCACAACTTAGGACTGGTTGTTATCACCACCATTTTACAGAAAATAAAGAATGTACAACTTTATGTACCCAGGCTAGAACCATTAGATCAGCTGATATTAAGCACTGTGTAGGCTTCATGGTATAGATATATGTTTTGTAGCTGCCTTTAAATCATACTATCTACATGACATAACAGAGCCTAACTGCATAAATACATACATCATTCTTTTCCTGTTACACACACACACACACACACACAGACATACAGACACACAGAAACACACAGATACACAGACACCACACATGTACACAGAGGTCTCCCAAACCACCCACCTTCAATGAAGCAAATCCCACTGAAGTGTTTTTTTTTTTCTTAATTGCCACAATTAACTGTTAAAGTCCTGGAGCTACAACTGTAAAAGAACTGTTAATTATCCTTCCTATATTGCAATAGGAGCAGTCCTTCCTGGACTAGTTCACCCCAGGGATTTGGTCTGAGAGCACTTTAGCTCCTGGTGGCTATGTGATGGCTACCCATGGTAACAGAGCACTTGAGGTAATTTAAAAGGTACTCGTGAAAACAGGAGGTGGGCCCCGATTTCACAAAAAGAAGCTAAACTCTCTCAATTAGCAGGTAAAAGAGCTTATCCCAAGTATAGGAAGATTATTTAAAATGATAATACACATGAATCCCTACTGTGGTTAAAAATAAAACAACTGGATCACTTAGTCTCCGTGTTGCACATCTATTCTACTTTAAAATGATGGAATAGAATCTAGAAAAGAATCTGAATGCTGTGGCAGCAGTGACAATCACAGGTGTCCATTGCCCTCTGAAATAGATTTTTAGAGATCAAGGTCAAAGCAATTCCATATAGAACGTAAAAGTCACTTGTATTCAGGATAGAAAAACATACCCTGAATTCTACAGAACTTTCCATGGGCTTCCTATAACTGGGAAAGAAAGCTGAGAGGAAAACAAACCAACTTTGAAGGCAAACAACACTGTCTT